ATTGAGTCCCATTTTTCATCGCATTGCCAACGCCAACATAAAAAATGGAATGGTGGCCAAAAACTTGAGCACAGTAACATTTTCGATGCCATTTCTACAGCTCAGTTAGATGAAGTTGATGATGTGTACAAACATGCTGATAAAATGTGAAGGCCAAAAAATGACAGAATGTGTAGCAGAAGACAACGAGGGAGTGCAGAGAGAAGCCTGCTCAGGTAGAAAGAGAGTTGGGAGCATTAGAGAAGAGGAGTTAGCGCAGCATAATTAGCCTGGGCTGCTTGGTTACCATCCAAACAAAGCTGCTGATTTGTGGAGCAAAATAGGAGGGAGGGGTGAAGTGAGTTGATCAGACACAAACGAGATGGGGGTGGCGAGAATGGAGTGAGATGAGGGTAGTGATTGCGCCATGCCACACACACTTAAAGCGTCGTCTCCCTTGGAGACCGTGACAGCGCTGGATCACGGCATGACATTGCAACAGTAGTTCCACCAGTCCGCTTTGTCACTACTACCCAGACAGATAGAGAGAAGAGGAAGTGTGCAGAGAGGGAGCGGGGCCGGACTGGAGCTCCGAGGGGAAGAGTTGACAGATTTGGGAAGCAGGCAGGCAGAGTCATTGGGGTCGGTGGGGGAATAAGTGAAGAGTGAAAAGAAGGAGAAGAAGGAAAAGAAAAAGAAGAAGCGAAGGAGTAAGGATGCACGGAGCAAGGTGGAAGAGCTGCTGAGCGTGTCCACACATTAATAGACTTTCCAGGGAAGGACATTGTGTTGTGGCCCCAAGTGGAGGATGAAGAAGCACTCAGCCCGAGTGGCTCCTCTCAGCTCCCACAGCACTCAGGTCCTGACCTGCCCCATCTCTGAAGGTAAAGCCAGGTTAACTCTACATGCATGTAAAAAGGGTTGTGTCTTTACATGTAGGCTTAGTGAACTGTAAGTTATGTGAAGAAAATCATTGGTTACGTGGTTTTAAGCACATACAGTCGTTGTCACGTGAAGAATGTACATGTCATGATAGGTTGATGAGCTGAAGTTGTGGATGTCAAGCAGAAATATGCACCTTGTATCTTCGGAGGGAGATGTGCTGCATGCAGATAGATAGCCAGTGTGCATGGCCCCAGCCTGGATGTAAAAAAAAAAAAAAAAAGAAAAGAAAACAAACACATCAGCAAGTTCTGCTCACTTGTCCTTTCTCCATTGAGCATTTCTGCTCACAACTCAAAAATAAGCACGCAAACTCATCCCTAAGAGCCTTGAACATCTTCTAAATCCATTTTCTAATCTGTAGAGCTCACCTTTGTTTTAGAGATTGAAATAAGATACCCTAAATCGCCTTTCCGTAAGCATCATCAGCATCCCACTTCTCCTTAAGACGACTTATCAAGGTTGCATAGTGCTGCTGACATGACCATGAGCTCCAGCGGGAGTCTATCCATCAATGTCACGATAAAACACACGCCAGATTGAAATGTTGGGTTGGAGTAGCAGAGTGCATCACACAGGGAAGATGAGCTCCATTAAAAATAAGCCATTAATGAATGATACTGTTCTATGCAGCGCTTAAGAGCTGCTTGCTGAGATTGAATCAGGCAAGTGTTTTGAATGACCTTATTTGCCATCATGAGCGTAAATATGGCTGACTCTGGACTCCTCATTTGTTGACGTATGTTAAAATAGTATTTTTCCAGACTGTATGCACCACTGTTGGAACTTCGGAAGCAGGAATATTTGTAAGCAATAACACAGCCTCATGGAGAGCAGAATGTTGGCCATGAGAGCTGCTTCTCCGGGGCAGGGGAATAGTAGAGTTTTAATATCACCGCGTGTTGGCTGCAGATCAGCCTGGAGTGGCTTTTATACCTTAGGACTGAAGCGCCTGCATCCAACACTAAAGGCTTTAGGATTTCTCTGTAATGTCAAACACAAACACTTTTAGCTTGGAGGATGAAAAGAAGCAGACAAGAATGGAGCTGATGTACTCTTGCAGAATGACGGCAGGCAGAAATGGAATGAGAGCAAATCCCTTTCACAAATTCCCTAAAATCTGTTAATTAGCATGTTGTATATCAGTGATGGGCAATTGGCGGCGCGGGGCGGCCTGTGCCCACACTCTGAGTGGCCTCTTAAATAAAAACATTTTTAAAAAAAAGTTTTGATTTTGATGATAAACCACTAAACCTCGACTACAGTCGATCACCCCACTTGCCGTTTTGCACTTGTAGACTAACTGTATTTTATTTTTTCTCAATTTTTTTTTTTTTTTACAATTTTTGAGGGGAACAATTTCTCATGGAAAATGCATAAAGGTGGTTTGCCGGGGTTGTTTGAATAATATTTTGGGTTTACAAAAAAAAATCCAAACAAACAAAAAAACACAAAAACAAAATTTTCCAATGCATTTCAATGAACATCAATTTGACACGGATTTCCTCTATTCGTGGGCTGGCCCGGTCCCTATCCCCTATGAATAGTGGGGGTCCACTGTATCATTTTCAGTTGTGATATCACTATTCACCAATAGATGGGAGACATGTGCGCCAGCTCTATATTTAAAAAGAGTTTGGCCAACTCGCTTGCCAGGCGCCATCTTGCAGCCCAGCCTGCGTGATGCACGCTATGTGACAGTGCACAAAGAAGTGGAGAAGGAGAAGGAAAACATTTATGGTCAAAGCGACCGAAGGGTTTAACCATTTTCACGGCGACACTCAGTGTACAAAAAGAACGACGGCAAGCACCAGACACTCATGCCAATTGCAGCACTGTTGTCAGTGTCAGGCAGGGAGGATGTAGCAGCGATAAAGGGGAGAGTGACACAACTGACAGGTTAAATTACCAAGATGTGAGTATGAAAGCAGTCAAGATGCTACTACATTAAATTTTGCTTCATGTTCTTTGCCATTACCATGAAAGCAGTGAGATAGCTTGTTAGATAACAATCCTCAAGAAGCATTTAGTCGTAGTGGCCCTAAATGTGGTTTGGTGACAGTGATGGGTAATTAAATATTCCATTGTGCATTTATTGATGACAAAGGTTCCACGCCATAATTATTAGTTGACTTGATAAACACAGTCAAAGTTAAGTTATTATTATATTAGTTATTGACGAGCAATTCATTTTCATTCAACTCGAGGGTGGCTGTGCCGTACTCCGACTGCTCGACTTTTTATCGATTAAAAAGAAAAAAGTGCATCGATGCAATAATGAGCACTGAGATGCTGTGCTGTGCTAGAAGGGAGATACTTGCAGGCACGTGCCACATGCTGAGCTAGCAGAGAGAGCTTGGGCAGCGCAAGCCATCCTTGATTTCCTGCCCTGGTGTAATTTGATGACTGCATGCTGTAAGTTAAAAGAATGTGCCTAAATGTGTCTGTCGGTCAGCCATGTAAACAAGCCACTGTACCTGTCTACAGTCTTATTTTCATTTTTATTTAATTTCAACTGATTGTAATGTCTAAGTGTGAAATTCAACAACTCTGTTTATTTTGAAACAAAATCACACACCTGCAGGCATTCATGCACATGTCAATGTGAAAGAGTATGAAAACAGTGCTGGGGTAGGGGTTTGATACCTTGCTCAAGGGCACTGTGACAGTAACTAGTGGCCCTCCTGTGCCCAAGCCTATATCCTTACAGATGAATTTCTGCCGCCCCAAACACAAAATCATTCATCTCGTGGCCACAATTTGAGATAAATCATTTCTTTGTAATGCATCAAATGGGTCTTATGAATGGAAATTACCCAACAAAGTGGCAAAACACTGTATGAAATTGTTACAGATATTTCTCGATAATGTAGATCCACATCTTGTGATACAGGTGCTAATGAAAAGAGATCATAAAAATATAATAAGTATTTTCAATCTATTGATGGATACATGTTTTCATGTAGCGTACCATGAGTCCCTTGTATTCTTGGTTTCAAGTTTCTAGTAGGAGTGGCAAGTTGCCTGTGTGACATTCTGAAAAAAAAAAAATGTTTGTTTTTTCCATTAGGAGAGGATGGTTTGGAGTCTCAGGCCGAGACGCCTGGTAGTGAGGCAAGTGTGGAGAGCCAGTCATACCAGACATGCACCAGCACAGTGCTGAAGGTGCTTGGTGGCTTGCTGATGGTGCTGTGCATCTCCTCCTCCTGGGTGGGTACCACTCAGGTGGTCAAGCTGACCTTCCAGTCATTCTCCTGTCCTTTCTTCATATCCTGGTTCAGCAGCAACTGGAATATCCTCTTCTTTCCAATTTATTACTCTGGACATGTGGTGACCACAAGGGAGAAGCAGACACCTATTCAAAAATTTAGGTAAGGTGTTTTTCCATCCATCCATTGTCGATACTGATTATCTTGGTTGCAGCTGATTTTAGGTGAAAGACGCACTGCATCCTGGATTGGTCGCCAGTCAATCACGGGAGCATATATAGACAGACAACCCTTCACATTCACAGTTATTGAGGAGGAAATTAATTGCTGCCTGCACAAACAAGAGTGTCCCAAGACACCATCAGTGACCCAAATAATGCATTTATGCTACTATTAAGAAATAAATAATTTGGGGAAATATTGGGAAAAAAATTGGTTGGGTTGGATGGATTTTCATCCAGAGACACATTAATGATGGACCTGTGGTTGATTATATTGTATATCATTCCAGAACATAGTCCACCATTGGCCCCAAGTCGGCTGGATAAGGTCCCAAACCCTTTAGTGACCTTGAAAAAAATAAAAGAAGAAAAGAGATCGATCGATGGATGAAAATACACTTCATCAGGGGTCAGCAACGTGGCCCCCAAAGACCACATGAGTAGCCTCCGGGCCTGTTCTAAAAATGGCTCACCAGTGATGGAACAGTGTGATTTTCTAAAACAAAATGTTGTAGAAATTATAATTTGAAAATATGAACACTAGCAGAGTTTGTGTGTGTGTGTGTGTGTGTGTGTGTGTGTGTGTGTGTGTGTGTGTGTGTGTGTGTGTGTGTGTGTAGTTTGACAAGGCCATAAGGGATACTGTGTCTTTTGACAGAGAGTGCAGTAAGCTGTTTGGCGAAGAAGGGATGACTCTGAAGCTTTTTGTGAAGCGAACGGCACCTTTCTCCATTCTGTGGACGCTGACCAACTACTTGTATCTCTTGGCCTTGAAGAAGCTGACCGCCACTGATGTCTCCGCTCTTTACTGTTGTCACAAAGCCTTCGTTTTTCTCTTGTCCTGGATTGTCCTCAAGGACCGCTTCATGGGTGTCCGGGTATGTATCTTATTAATTCTGAAGGAGAAAGAGATGAAGATCGCAGGAGCACTGCTGTCTCATTAACGGACATATTGTTTAGATTGTTGCCGCCATCATGGCCATCACAGGAATCGTTATGATGGCGTATGCGGACGGTTTCCATGGTGATTCCTTTGTGGGTGTGGCACTGGCTGTGGGCTCAGCCTCAACTTCAGCTCTTTATAAAGTGAGACAACAAACCACACAAGCATATTAAGTAATCGGTCCAAGTAGATGATGTTAACCAACGTGTTTGTCTTCTCACCATCTAGGTGCTATTCAAAATGTTCCTGGGAAGTGCCAACTTTGGCGAAGTTGCTCATTTCCTTTCCACCATGGGTTTCTTCAACCTCATCTTTATCTCCTGTGTGCCCCTCATCCTCTATCTGACCAAAGTAGAGCAATGGGGCTCCCTCTCCTCACTGCCCTGGGGTTACTTGTGTGGCCTGGCAGGATTATGGCTAGGTGATAATGCAAACAAATACTTTGAGCATTAGGGGGGTGCAATGACACCATTGCTTTTGTCTACATCCATGATTGAGGTGACATGAAGTTGTTCAAATTGTCCAAAGCTAAAATAAAAAAATGCACACACGCAGATGTGTGCAATTTCAGTCTTAACCATATAGGTACAGTGTGTAAAATGTAGTGCCATCTAGTGGTAAGATAATAGAATGCCACGACCGTTGCTCGAAGTGTGTGCTTCACTCCGGTGCCCAAGAGCGACAACACTTCGCAAATGTGTCACCTATTTTTTCAGCAGAGGTACAAGCATAATGTCATCCCAAACAAGCATAATGTCATCCAAAATGACTCGTATTCCCTCAAGTGACGGAAATAAATAAATCCGCTTGAAATGTCCACCTTGATCATTCGATTGTATCTTTTACAGTGTTCAACATTCTGGTTCACGTCGGTGTTGTCCTGACGTACCCCATTCTCATCTCCATAGGAACTCTACTCAGTGTACCAGGAAATGCAGGTGAACTTTCTATATGTGGTTCAAATATTGCCCTTGGTTTATTTGACACTCCGTTCCAAATTATGATCCATAATTCATGTTAAATGAACGTGTAAGTTTTGATTTTTCTGGGGCAATTTGTACACATTGTTTCTACTGTCTATTTAGACCACTGATTCGATCTTAGAAAGTTTTGATTATTAGTTTCCCTAATTAGCTTGATTAAATGAAAATGACAGATGGCAGTTTTATGCAGTTGAAACCACTGTGACTCGCATCAGGTTGTACATGGCAACATGAAATGCCCGTAGACCAGTTCTCAGCTTTAACCGTGGTGGACCATGTGAAGGTCAGTGCAGGTTGCATGAAAGTGTCAGCCTGCAGAGCACAAAGACACAGCGATTGCGTCTACCGATGATGATTCGCATTTTCTTCTCTCATATCAGTACAGACACTTTTTTAAATTAATCTTAACTTGTTTTTGTTGTTTGTCTACCCTGCCCCACTGCCCCTCTTTGGTTCCTTACTGTAGCTGTAGATGTCCTTAAACACCAGGTGATCTTCAGCATGGTGCGCCTTGCGGCCACGTGCATCATCTGCTTGGGTTTCTTGCTGTTGTTGCTTCCAGAAGAGTGGGACTCGGTCACCTTGCGCTTCCTGGCCACCATTGCGGACAAGAAGTCAGAGGATCACGGTGAAGAGCTTACGGAGTCCAGCCTGCACACAAGAAGCCGTAGTCGAGCCAACGGCACCGTCTCCCTTCCCTTAGCATAACGTAGTCAGACTCCACTGTGAGCTTCTTTCCTCCACTGCCCACCCAAGGAGGGGAGACTGGAACACATGACGGAAACGATCTGCAAGACATGGCAGAGCATCAAGATTGTGTTAGTCAAGGATGCATCAGATGCACCTGGCTCACTGCAAGAGGGATATTTATGAGTTTCACAAATGAAAAAGGTGGGAGGTGTTATTTACTTTTACGATAAACCTGCCACACTCAGTCCCTCACCTGCCGACTGACCAATGCCCTGCTCGACTCTGCAAAATGTATTCTGTGAATATAAATCCTGGCAGGGACAGTTTGGCTATAGAGCGATATGTTTTATTTATTTATTTTGAGAGGAATAATACATTTCAAATCTTACTAATGTGCATTATATATAAGAGACTAACAGTTATCAGTACTTGTATAAGTATTTCCTTTTGTTTGTTTTTCATATGAATTTTAAAAAAACCTGCTCACGCCACTCACTGAATCACACAGCAAATGAACCACTTGTTTATTTAAATTATTTAAAACTCTGAATGTCATGGTTTCCCACTTCTTCAGACTACTAGGATCCATTGAATGCCTGGAAAAACAATGCATTATTTCTGCTTTTGAGAAAAGATAAAAAAAAAAAAAACAGATACAAAGAAATTGCTCAATTTTGAAACATTGCGTTCAAGATTCATAAAAATGAGCCATATATATTTTTAAACAGTCTAGAACGAATAGAAATGATTAATTTGCTCAGGAATATGGCTTTATGTCAGAGTGAGCAGGATGTCTCTCTTTGAGAAACTCAGATGTGTGAACAGAGTAAAGACTCATTCTGATATGATATTCTTGAATGAATACGTTGGATTTTTTGTTTTATCTTTTTTTTTTTATTGAAAACCATCAGCCATTTCCAGAGAGTGGAATTCAGGACTTTGAGGCTCATTCAGAGGTGTTAAAATACTGTGGCGTGATTTTTTTGGAAAGCATTTATAGAATTTACGTTTGCATTCATCTGAATACAGCAAGAAAGAGTTGTACCATAGCATTAATGAGCAGAAATAGAATAGCTTTTTCTTATGTTATTATTTGAAGTACAAACAGTGAAGGAGATTGGGATGATTGCAGTGCACTGCAATTCATCACCTTCCACAAACACGCACCATCTGGGGTAATATGTGCATGCTACCGAGCAATAGAAACAAAAAAAGCCTAGGGGGACTGTTAAGCTGCAGAGCATATGATTGGCATGTCTCACACACACAACACACACGTACACGAGTCGACATTACAGTGCTGCTATGGTTTCTGGAGCACAGTGAGTAAGCCGAGACCTCTAATGAAGGGTTTACTGAGATGACATTTCAACACTTGCGACTTAATAAGATGGAATAATACAGGAATCCAAATCTAATGTAACCCAGTTGTATTTCCTGAAAGAAAGGTATTGCCAAGAGAAGTTGCCCCCCGCCCCCCCAGAAGATCTGCCAAAAACATCAAGCTCTCTCAACCATTTGCCGTGAAATACACATCGACCTGTGGGGAGAGTTTCTATAGAAACATCTTCGCAATAAGAATTTGTAGAACAAAAGCATGACGGAACACACTTATTTGATGTTTATTTCTTTCTTTTTGTTGCTAAGATATACTCAAGTGCTCTTTTCAAACAACATGCCAATCAAGCAAAGACAGCATTCATTTTCTTCTGTTAGCAATGATGATTCATAAAGGGGTTCATCCTCCACTTTCAAGGTGGTAAGCTGCTCTACAGACCATGAACAACACACAAAGTAGAGACTAAACTAGATCAGGAAACAGGAATTGTTCTCAAATTCACATTTTTAGTTGATGACGAACCTTAATCAAAATCTTTTACGTACATGGGTACAGTGGCCCGCATAGCCAAGTTTGCCTTGGGCCCCCAAACTATACTGCTGCTAATCACTAACTCACTGTGTCCTCCAAAGCTATTTTTTAGTCCAGGGGAATCATTACAATCGTACAATATTATTAATTTTAAATCAATTGAGAATTGTACATTCTCTACATTTACATTTTGATTTATATTTCAACAGCACTATGATGCGGATGTGCTAAGTGGTCGACCACCATGCCACCTTCATGAAACGAACATAACTTCATTGTTCGAAGAAGCAGAAAAAGAAAAGCTAATGGCACTCATTACATTTTGCAATGAAATCTTACAATGTTTTTCATACGAAAAAAGCCATTAAATAGATTACACAGCAGGAACGTCATTACGATAGCGTTAGTCAGATTAATTGGAGTTGCAGCGCCCTCTGTAGGCTAATGTTAGGTACAGCTGAAAAAATGAGCGCTCATTTTTATTTATATCTAACAGAAGTCATATAAAGTATATTATATCAGCAATATCAAACAAATTCTGAGTTTGTGGTATTTAATTTAAGCGGGTCCGGAAATTGTTTTTCAGGATTTGTAGAAGCAGACTGTTCTCCAAAAGTCGTCGGGAAATAAAGGAACTGATATTTCTCAATCACCTGAAACCACAGATTAAGGGCAAATGATGCGATCATATTTTATAACAGGCACTCTAAGACCAATTATGCAGGAGCAATCTGTTACGGTTTTACAGTACAGTATTTGCTCATTACATAAACAAACACGGTTGACCTTACAATCTACCACTAGGTGGCCTTATTGTGCTGAAAGACGGCGGCATACTCACTCCCACGTCAAATCAGACTTTTGCTTCGTTTTATTCATCGCCTGTGTGTCCAAAAAATGTTTAAATTTAACACTGTGCAAGTACAATATGTATAGTCTAAGTCTCGATAAGTATGGCCAAAGTCAGTGGAGCAGGCCATACATTAAAACAAGTCAATCCACCCAAAAAGCAAATCCACTAGCAAGAAGACTGCAGACTTTAAGAGTCAGTATGGGCTCATATCGAGAGAGAGAGAAAAACACTCTTTTTCCAACTGGCTGGTCACAAACACTGGGCCTTAAAGCCAAATCATGATGGAGGAGAAGAGCGGAGAGGTCTCATCGCCCACCGCTCAGCGTGGACACTTAAAAAGAAGGTGAAGGTTGCCGTGTGAGCAATTGCTTCCAATTGACAGAGGATTGGTCATGGTCAGCCGTGTGAGTGGAAATCCACGTGAGAATGTAGTATTTGGACCAGCGAGGGGCACAAGAGGCCAACAGTAGACAATGGGGGTACTCAGAGGATTCTGGATGCTGTGGAGCACAACCACCTCTGATTTAACTCTTCATTGACTGGTTATGTATTACATTTAATGCAAGTAGGTACCCTGGTATGTGCCAGGAGAGAACCTCCCCACCCCATCAATGATTATCTTCAATCAATTTTCATGAATGGAGTTCTTATTAGGAAAGACTGTGACCAAGATGTGACTGCTACCAGCGGAGAACTGTTACTTCAATAACAACTAATTAAACACTCTGAGCTAGTGCACCTACATAACATCAACACACAGCCCAACCTCATCTACCCTTGTGACTCTTTCACCAATTAGCCAGGTCCCGACAGCTGAATGTGGCCGACTGCTTCCATGTCTCGGAGGGCCAGAGGGGTCAGCGCTCAATCATAGGCTGGTTGGAGAGGTTTTTTTTAAAGTACTCACTAGTTGACAGGGCGGGGATGGGGTCAAAAGGGGTGGAGGGTGGTGTAAGGACCCCTGCCAGCTTTAAAGAGTAGCCTTTTGTCGCCAAGGCAGTGTCGGAGGCAGTCAAGCCTTTCACTGCCCTGCCAGCCCCCTCTCCTTCAGGCCTAGAACAGCTGATGACAAGGCCCCAGCTGCTAATTATCTGGCTGATGGAGAGTCACTGAAGTGGGCCTGTCAGAGCAAGGGGTCCCCTTGTGTTTGCAATGTCCTCAATGTAAAGGAGGAGGGAGTAAAGAAAGGCAGACAGCAGTCAGAAGTACTTCAATATGTCTTCCAGTGAAAACTTTGTGCGCCCAGTTTAATCATCAAACGCCACAAATGATTGGTTGAATGATTGTCACACACATGAAGTATACGTACATTGTGCTCTAAACGGAGCTCCACTCTCACAACAATTTACATGGCGCAGCAAAGAAATATGGACAAGTGTAAAATATTAATATGGTGGCTCCTTTGATTTGACTCCATCCTAAAGCAACAGCTGGCATATGGGAGCGGTACTCGTGGAATTCCATATGAAATAGTCCTTAGATTGAAGTTCCCGAGCTATACAAGAAAAAAAAGGGAGTTCTTTTTCAACAAGTGTGTTCTCAAGCAAACAATACATGCTTCAAAAGAATTGCATAAACTTACAAGTTGTTATTTTAGGTTTAGCAGAGGAATACACCTGTACTGAATGTTGGTCCACATAGCATCCAGAGAGTGTTGTCTCAGGCACTTTGAAGTACAACTAGGATGAAAATAATACAACTATTCATCAAAATGCAATTCACGATATTTTTTTTTAATGCGCTGTATTTCTCAGTGTATTCCCCCCACTAAGTCCTGACTTGGCATTTTTATTTTAGAAAATATAACATGCTAAATGAGAATATATGAAAATTCTCTGCAGAAGTGTGTATGAACCTACTTTGACATAAGCTGTGAGGTCTGTACAAATGGGATCAGCAGGTCCTGCTGTCGACCCTGAAAAGGTGATCCTGCCTTCCATTGAGACGTCACGAGATCTAGGAAACTTTTGTCCTGAATATTCAAGAGTGGAAAAGAAATCATTAGCTTCTTTACAAGAACTCTCCAGATACCCAACACCCACCAAGAACCCATGCCACCAAGTTCTTCTCCTTGGAAACGTCCACATGTCCAGAGCTCACTTTAATATCCACAGAACCCATCTGAGGCCTGCACAAAAAAAAAAAAAAAAAAAAAAACGTTTTAATGTAGACATTCTACTGATAAAGCCATATTCTGAATTTGTCCCCTGCATGTGTTCCTGGTGCACTTAAAGTATAATGCTAACAAAGAAGACCAATAAAACAAAATACTGAATACATAGTGACAATACATGTGAAGTTATGTGAAGAGGACACAGAATCAAAGCTCTTTGACTCTTGTGTCATGTATGTTGCTGTCAAAGGTAAGATGTGAGATGCATGAAGCAGCCGTGCTCCCATTGAACCGAAATTATGAGGACGGCACCGAACGCACAAATCCGGAAATAAAGGAAACCGTGGAATTCCTATGTGCTGCATTGTTGCTCTGCATGCTTCTGCTGTTATTGGAGCTGCAAAATAATTTTGAGTATCACGAGCACGTCATTTAATGGACGTATTTTTCAAATTTTGGAACAACGTCGCCAAATGTGTGCTGCAACCTGCAGGAGCGGGTGCTTTGCGTGCTGTGACCCAAAGCACGCTGGCAGCGGCGCGGCTGAACAAAAGATGAAGGATCACATGTGATCAACATTCACTGAGGGCTAATAATTCCTACAAAGTCCAAAAAGTCGCTTGGATCCCGTACTTGGCGCAGATCGGCAATGATTTGTATTCAGACTTCTAGCGAACCACACCGAGTCCGTTTGAAA